TGGAGAGTGTGGTAGATAATAGAAGAACCCACAGCCAGTTCCCAGCTGTTTGTATCACCCCAGCTGACACCATGTAGAGAAGAATTGAGCTGTCCCTACCAAATACAGCCCAAACTGCAAAACTGAGCAAATAAATAATTTTCTTTCAAGCTGATAAATTTTGGGGTGCAGCCATAGATAACCAAACACATTTATCTATATAACACCAAGAAATCATGTCATGTACCATACCCTTTGGAAAATTCTGGATTAAGTGATATTCTAATATTCTACAAGAACATTCTCCCACAGACCCACATGTCTCATAGATACATAACTGCAGTGAATTGACTGAGGACTTATCACATGCCAACATGACCACAATAACCTCCTGATGGTCTCTGCTTTCTCTCTTGTCCCCTCGCACCTGGGAGCAGCCAGAGGGAGAATGTTTTCAAAATGCAAATCTGATCACGTCATTCTCCTGCTTATCACCCACTGCAATGTCCACAAGGAGTCTTCTTAGGTTCAACTATACACTCAGACTCAACAGATGACCACAAGCTATACTTGGCATTGACGTACTCTGATGGATGTAAGACAGGAACCTCAGCTTGCTAGAATGGCACTCAATGCCAGCACCAGCACTCAACTCTCCCTCTCAGCGGGGGAGTCCTTGCTGCATGTGTACCAGAGCAGTACAGCACAGGTTCAAGGAAATGAATCCCCATCTGGTGGGTGCAGGAGTCATCCTGGCTTAAAAGCTTCATGTCCCCTGGGAGCCAATACCTTTGTACCTGCCCAATTACAGGAGTCACCATGCTCACGAAACCCAAAGTATGATTTCCACCAGGTATTTATAGTTCCTCTCATCCCAGATGCAATTTACCAATCAGGGGTATTTAAGAAAAAAAAAAAACCCTTTAGTTTTTGGAACAGTTTTAGATTTACAGACAAATTGGGAAGATAGCACAAAGAGTTCCCATACACCCATACCCAATTTCTTCTATTATTAACACCTTATATTAGTATGATAAATTTGCTATAATTACTGAACCAATATTGATCCATTATTATTAGTTAAAGTCCACACTTTATTCAGATTTCCTTAGTATTTACCTAATGTCCTTTTTTCCCATTCCAGGATCTCATCCAGGACACCATAGTACATTTAGCCATCATGCATCTTTAAGGCTCCTCTTGGCTGTGACAGTTTGTCAGACTTTCCTTGTTTTGACAGTTCTGAGGTCAGGTATTTTGTAAAATGTCCCTCAGTTGGGATTTGTGTGATGTTTATCTCATGGTTAGACTGGGGTTATGGGTTTTGTGAGACAGATCACAGAGGTAAAGTGCCATTCCCATCACATCATATTAAGGATACATACTATTAACATAATTTGACTGTTGATGTTGACTTTGATCCTCTGGCTGAGGTAATCAGGTTTGTCAGTTTCTCCACTATAAAATTATCTCCACCCCCATTTCCATACTGTACTCTCTGAAAGGCACTATGCTCAGCCCACACTTAAGAATTGGGGGGCTTCCCTGGTGGCGCAGTGGTTGAGTGTCCGCCTGCCGATGCAGGGGACGTGGGTTCACGCCCTGGTCTGGGTGGATCCCACATACTGCGGAGCTACTAGGCCCGTGAGCCCTGGCCGCTGAGCCTGCACCGTCCAGAGCCTGTGCTCCACAACGGGAGAGGCCACAACAGTGAGAGGCCCGCGTACTGAAAAAAAAAAAAAAAAAGAATTGGGGAGTTATGCACAAATAATAGAGAATAAACTAGTGGTTACCAGTGGGGAGTGGGGAGGGACGATACAGAGGTGGAGGGGTGGGAGGTACAAATTATTGTGTGTAAGATAGGCTACAAGAATGTATTGTACAACCCGGGGGAATATAGCCAATATTTTGTAATAACTGTAAATGGAATGTAACATTTAAAAATTGTATAAAAAATCTCTACACAGGAGTCTAAAAAAAAAAGAATTGGGGCGTTATGTTGCTTCCTTGAGGATGGAATATTTGGAATTCTGCATCAGAGATTTCTCTTTTCCCCCCATTTTTTCATTTATCATATTTTAGGTTACAATCCAATATTTATTTTTTTGATCAAATTTTTCTAACTTTGGCTATTAGGAGCTCTTTTAGTCAGCCCCTATGTCCTTTGACATACCCCCATCATTGTGTGTGTGTGCGTGTGTGTGCGTGTGGTTTGTTCCTTCCTTGCTTTCTGGCACTATCAGATACTCCAGGCTTGTCTTGTACATTTCCTGCTCCAGTCCTAGAATCAGCCATTTCTCCCTGGTTCCTTTTATTGGAGAGTGGTATTAGAAACCAAGATATGGGAACCAGGTGCGCTTGTTGCTATGCAGTGTCATGCAGCTAGGTCCTCGCAGCTGACAGAGAAAGGAAATATAGTGTATACTGACTTGTATATATATACATTTATAGTTATCTATCACATGTATCATAAATATGTACTCATCTGCATCAATATTATGCTAAACATGAGTTCATACTGATATCTCCAATTCTAATCCATTACCACATGGATCATTCTAGGCTCCTCCTTGGGGTCATTTTTATCATAGCAATGTTGCCTAGTAACAGAGTGATATATGTTTATCTGTTTCCAAGGAAACAGAGCTAGACAGTTAACCAAAGGTCAAATTCTCATGCAGAAGAGGAAAAGTTTGTTAACTCTTTACTCACACTGATCAATGACTCCCCACTGCTCTGGGGATAAAGAACCAACTGCTTGGCTTACAAGGATTCTCAGTGACCTGGCTCACTGACAGTCCAGACTCATCTCCAACGTTCCTTATTGAGCCCTTCAGGGCAACCACCCTAGTCTCCGTCAAGCCTCACACTCACCATACCCTCTTCTACCCCAGGGCCCTTGCCCATGCCAGTCCCTCTGCTGGGCCTCTCTTCCTGCTGTCTTTACCTAGTTGCCTCCTATTCATCCTTTCAATCTCGGCTCAGTCCTCACTTCTGCAGGGGAGCCAGGAGCCATCCCCATCTCCCAGACTAGGTCAGCACCTTGCTGAAAGCTTGAACAGCACTATGTACCTTTGCTCTGTGGCAGTGTTACATTTACTTATCCCTTTCTCCCACTGGAATACAAACTTCTAGAGGGTAGGGATGAAGTCTACCTAATTAATCAGTAATATAATAGGAGCTCAATAAATATTTGCTCATTTTCTCCATTCTTTATTCAATAAATATTTATCAAGGGCCTCCTATGTGTTGGCTCCTTTTCTAGTGTCTGGGGTTACAGGAGGGAGGGAAACAGGCAAAGCTTCTGCCTCTTGACACATATTTTAGTGGTGGTGACAATAAAGGAAGAAATAAGCAACTGTCAGGAGTTGATAAATGCTATGGAGAAAAATTCAGAGTTAAGGAGTAAAGGGTGCTGGGGCACTGCTAGTTTTAAAAGGATGATGTAGAAAGGTGTCTCTGAGAAGATGACATCTGAGCAAAGACGTGAAGGAAGTGAGGGCGAGCTCTGGGGGTCTCAGGAAGAAGAGTGTCCCAGGCAGAAGGAACAGCAAAGGCAAAGGCTCTGAGGCAGGGCTGAGGGAGGGAACTGTGCACGCTTTACAGGGAGTATCTCATCTAATCCCTATAACCCTTACTAAGTCCATTAAACAGATAAGGAAACTGAGCTCTGAGAGGGGACAAGGCCACACACCCATGAATGGTGGAGCTGGGATTCTCTCGGGAGTCTGGTGCTGAGGTCCCTAACAATAGGCCAGGCTTCTGGAAGGCAGGAAGAGACTGAAGCCCTCCCATCCCCGGAGGTCCTGCCCAGGTCTCTGTCACACTGGCCTCAAAGGCCTGGGCACCTGGCCTCCAGGGTGGCCTCCACTGTCCTCCTTGTCAAGGATGGCACAGGCCTTTGGAGCAGGACATGTCAGGTTCTCACATGAGGTGGCTGAGGATCCAGGACAGGGCATCCCCATCTGCCTGTCCTTGCAGATGGCTGACCTCTGCTGACCCTCCCAAAGCTCCTGGAGTCTGCATTTTCATGATTCCATTGGCAGAGGCGAACACTGAGGCTCAGAGAGGCGGGAGGACTTACCAGAGGCCATGAGAGTGAGCTGGCCACGGAGACTTCCGGAAACCCCATGATCTTCACACAGAACTCCTCTCTGGGCTTGACCTGGGCCCCCAAAGAGGGAGAGTCTCCTTAACTTTTGTACTCTAGGCATCTCACTGATTCACCTTAATCTGAGCCCTTTAAAGGAGAGAAATAGTGAAATCTGCCCTACTCACCACCTGTTCACCCAAACCCACCGCTGGGCTCTGCGGGGGATCAGACAGGGGCCCTGTTCTCCAGGAGGTGCCAGTCTGATGAGTGATGCTGGCACTTACTGAAAATCACGACTCTCAGAAATAAGGACAATAATGCAGGCAAAGAGCGCAGCTGTAGGGGCCCCTGGGGCGAGGGAGTGTGTGGGGCATCGAGCTGGGCTTCCCAGGGGCGGGGGCACTACAGCTGGGCCTTGGAGGAAGAAGGTGTGTGTGGCCATTGGTAATCCTCCAAGATAACACCCGTCTTAGGCTGTGCACCTCAGTGTCCCACAAAAAAAGAAGAGCAAGGAAAAAGGAGGAGCGCGCGTGCGCACGTGTGTGTGTTTGGGGGTGAGGGGTGGTCTTCGAGGCTTCCTTGCAGCCTTCAGGTGGCGCCCTTGAGCCACGGAGCCGCAAACGCCAGAGAAGACTATCCCGACCTAAGGACCTCGGAGAGGACCCTGGGTCCTACCTGAGGGCTGTGTGTGTGGGAGGGGGTGAGGAGCGGAGGAAGAGTGGGGGCTTGGCGCAGTAGGGGCTCCCCAGCCGAGGGGCGAGGCCGGCGGCCGAGGGAGGGGTCTCTTTCAGCACTCACCCCCGAGCCTCGCCCCAGCGCCCTGGCACCACGGGATGAAGGCTTCAGTTCCCTAAGCCCAGGTGCTGGCGAAACAGATCTGCCCCAAGGGGTGGGGAGGGGAGGAGGATGGAGCCGTGTCCCCCCACTCTCACCCTAGTCCGTTACCCTCTTCCCAGTGCCTCCCCGCGCTAACTCTCCCGGCGCCCTCGCCGGCCGCGGGCGGAGCCCGATCCGCTGCGCTCGGCGATCCCCGGCTCCCGCCCCTTCTCCGTCCTCCCTCCCCGGAGCCCTCAGAGGCCGTGGCCGCCTCGGTACAGCCCCGCGCGGAGCGAGCAGGTAAGTGCGCCGCGGCAGCGTCTCCGGCCCCGGCCCCGGCCCGGCCGGGAAGGGGGCGGGAGCCGGGGAGGGCGAGGAGGAGGCGGCGGCCGGGCCGGCTTTCTCCCGGGCTGCGCCGCAGCACAGACACCGGCGGGCGGGCACCGGCCCGGGCTGCGCCGCAGCACAGACACCGGCGGGCGGGCACCGGCTGCGGGGAGGCGCACTGGGAGGACGCGCCCTCGCCGTTGCCCGGCGCCTTCGCCTCCCGCGTGGGGAGGCAGTGAGGGAGGCCCGGCACAGGTACGCACGCGAAAAGGGGACTGCGAGGGGCGGCGGGAGACTGAGGGCCCGAGGCGGGGAGGGGCGGCCAAGGAGAGCTAGCCTGACCTCGCGGCCCGGCCGAAGGACACGAGGCGAGGGGACCCGGGCGCACTCCTGTCCTCGCAGATCCTGGCCTTCGTGGGCCGCCTGGCCGCCTGGCTACCGGCGCCGCTCGGCCCGGTCCGGCCTGGCCTGACCCAGCGGCGTTTGTGGTCAAGGGCAGGAGCAGGGGTTGTGAGCTGCGGGCTGGTGGGCGCGCGGGTGCGGCGGGCAGTCGGGGGTGCTGGGGCTTTCTGCGCGGAACTTTGGGTATAACAGCGTGGACATATCTGAGCGCCAGAGGCTTTGTGTACAACTCGTGCGTGTGTCTATCGATTGGGTTTTGTGAAGCTTACCCACTCCCGCTGTGCGTCTGTCTCCCCGCGTGTTAGTGCACACCAGTGGGTGGGGTGCTGGGCCTGGGGGGATCTTGGTGGATCTCAGCAGTCCTGAGGGTAGTAAACTCTCTGTGTGTGTGTGTGTGTGTGTGTGTGTGTGTGTGTGTGTGTGTAACCAGCTCTGTCCCTTGCTGGGGTGTGGGTACCAATGTGGTCTATGGATCTGTGGCTCACACTGCGTGGCTTCCCATGTCTGTGAATGTTGCATGTGGAAAAGGCCTCTGGGGGTATGAGTGTGGAACTGGGGTGTGCTTTTCAGGTCCTGTTGGACTGCAGATGAAACTGGAGTGTTACTGGTACAGTTGTGGGGTGTGAGCAGTGGACACCAGCATCATTGTCAGCTTGTCTGTTTCTGCTTATGTTTTGGATAATTTACTGGGCATGCCCTTGTAAGTGATGGGCATCTCTGAACCTGTGTGTCAGATACATAGCAACTCTAGGTAAGAGGGAACCTCCTTTTCCTCCACCCTCTTCCTAACTCTGCTGGCATCCTAAGGAAAAAGTTTTGGGTTCCTGCCAAGTGAAAGAGCCCTGCGCCAAGAATTTGGGTGTCCTGGGTTTTTTCTGGGATATGGAAGCATCAATGTGTTGGTCTGGGAAGGGGGTTCCTGGGCCACTCCAGGGGCTGAGTTCTGTGGAGGATGCTTAAGACATGGGTGGGGGACCACATCTGGACACCAACTGGGCAGGAGTGGTCACTGCCAGTCCCTGTTACTGGCTGGACACTCAGGAAAATGCTTTTGGTGCCAAAAGTAAAAAATGCCAATGAACACACCTCTCCTCTTGGTTTACTGGAAAGTGGGAGCAGTCTGGGCAGAGCCTGGCCCTGAGTAGGCACTCCCCACCCTGTGTGTGGGAAGGATTGTCTGCCTGGGCAGGTTGCCAAACCATTCCTGAGGGCTGGCTGTGTTCCAAGCCCTGTGCAGGGGGCTGCGGACCCAGACATATCCCTGCCCTCAAGCTGCTTGTGGTTGATGTTAAACAGTGGGATAAAGTAGAGAATCTACAAATGAGGCCTGGAAGACCAGGGAAGGAGGGGGGAATGATGCCACTGGTACAAGAGTGTGTGGGTTTGCAGGCTTTTAAGTGATAACAATGCTTGGGGAACCTGCTTTCAACTCCTGGCCCCCACATGCATGCCATGGGATCTTGGCCACATTTTGTAAAATAGAGATAGTAATAACTGCTCGTGGGGCTCATGGGGGTTATACACAATACTCCCGAGTGAAGTGCCCGCAATAGGGCTCAGCAGGGAATGTAGGTGCTCAGTAAACATTTATTAAATTGGAACTCAGGAAAAAGGGACATGGTCATAGAGATGGGTTGTAAGTGGAAACAGGCTTTGTACTCAGATGAAAGGCCCTGTGTGTGCTAAGAGGAGGTGTCTGATGCAAGCCCATGTTGGAAGGAAGATCAGAAAGATCGAGCCTTCCTACCCTGAGGCTCTTTAAATTTCATTCATTCCATTCATTTTCACTTCATTCATTTGCTTATATCCACTCTCTCTCTCTCTCTCTCTCTCTCTCTCTCTCTCTCTCCCTCTCTCCCTCTCTCTCTCTCTCTCTCTCTCTCTCTCTCACACACACACACACACACACACACACACACACACACACACTGAAGCACAGAGAACTGGAGAATAAATTCCGGCACACGAATGCAGAGAAAGGTCTAGAATCCTGTGTACGTGTGTGTAGACACACTAGGGCATACGAGCCACTCTGCACCTGGGGGTCGGGTCTCTGTGCATTGCGGGGACTTGGGTCTGTGGTGTATGTACCCACAGTACATCAGTGTGCAGGGGGAATGGGGTAGTTCTGCTGTGGGATTAGGAGTTCTACATGCCAGGTGGGGCCTGTCGGGGGACCACCAGATATGCCTGAGGGAGGACTTCATCATCAGCTCCAGCTGAGTGTGGCTGTGAGGGAATGGGGGCTAGGGTGGTCAGATTCTTTCCTTTTGCAAGAGAAGCCAGGCATCCAAGGTTTAAAGTGTAAAACGTTCACTGCAGCACTATTTACAATAGCCAGGACGTGGGACCAACCTAAATGTCCATTGACAGATGAATGGATAAAGAAGATGTGGCACATATATACAATGGAATATTACTCAGCCATAAAAAGAAATGAAACTGAGTTATTTGTAGTGAGGTGCATGGACCTAGAGTCTGTCATACAGAATGAAGTAAGTCAGAGAGAGAAAAACAAATACCGTATGCTAACGCATATATATGGAATCTAGAAAAAGAAAAAGGGGGGTGGGCTTCCCTGGTGGCGCAGTGGTTAAGAATCTGCCTGCCAATGCAGGGGACACGGGTTCGAGCCCTGGTCCAGGAAGATCCCACATGCCGCGGAGCAACTAAGCCCGTGTGCCGCAACTACTGAGCCTGTACTCTAGAGCCCGTGCTCTGCAACAAGAGACGCCACCGCAATGAGCAGCCCGCGCACCACAACAAAGAGTAGCCCCTGCTCACTGCAACTAGAGAAAGCCCACACACAGCAGTGAAGTCTCAGCGCAGCCAAAAATAAATTTATTTTAAAAAAGGGGGGGTACTGATGAACCTAGTTGCAGGGCAGGAATAAAGAGGTAGACATAGAGAATGGACTTGAGGACATGGGGTGGGAGGGCGAAGCTGGGGCGAAGTGAGAGTAGCATCGACATATATACACTAAATGTAAAATAGTTGGCTGGTGGGAAGCAGCAGCATAGCACAGGGAGATCAGTTCGGTGCTTTGCGATGACCTACAGGGGTAGCATAGGGAGGATGGGAGGGAGGCTCAAGAGGGAGGGGATATGGGGCATGTGTAGGCATATGGCTGATTCGCTTTGTTGTGCAACAGAAACTAACACAGTATAGTAAAGCAATTATACTCCAATAAAGATCTATTTAAAAAAATTAAAAAATAAATAAAGTGTAAAATCTTTTGCTTTTTATATATTGGCAACTGAAAACCAAAAACCAGATGAACAGACCAGAAACAAAAAGAAGCAAAACTTCTATGAGCCAAATATGGCCCATGGGCTGTAAGCTGGTATCCTCTGGCACATGTGCTGTCTGTCTGTCTGTGTGGGTGTGTATTCAGGTACTTGGGTAGGGTGTCTCCTCTTTGAGCAGAGAGTACCCCCTTACCCGCTCCCCTCCCAGCTCCCCTTCTGCGGTCTGCATCCAGGTCCTCCCATCTTCTGTTTACATAAAGGCATTTGGCCTTGACCTCAGTCATGGCTCCCAGAGATGCTCCTTTCTCTTTGCCCTCTCAGTTTCCATGCCTCCCCTGACCACGCTGGGTTCCTCCCTGGACCCCTGGCCTCCACTCTTCTCCTTCCCCATCCTGTCTGTCCTCCATGCAGCAGCCAGAGAGAGCTTTCCAAAACCTAGGCGATGTTAGCCCTCCCACCCCCAACGCCTCGCCTCGCCTCCCTGGCTCCTTGGCCTGGTTTTCAGAGTCCTTAGCGAGCTGGTCCCAGCTGACCTCAAGGCACCCCGTCTCCCTCTCCAGAATGCCCTTGTCCCCTCTCAGTGCTGGGGGATTTCCCACTCATCCTCCGAGGTTTGGCTCAAATGCCACGAACTCCTAGAAGCTTCCCTAACTTTCCTTTTGTTCTTACGACCACCTTCATCTCTACCCCTTCCCCCGCCCCCAGTCATTCTCACTTCATCACAACAGTGTCCATTAATTGAACTGGCAGGGGCCTTAAATGCCTTATTTTATGAAATCCTCACATCATCCCTATGAGGGAGACATTTGGCTTATTCACATTTAACAGATGAGAAAATTGAGTCTGGAAAGGTCACCTCACTTGCCAAAGCTCAAGTGGTGACGCTGGGATTAGAACCTATCTACTGTATTTAAATTCCTTCCATCATAATAATAGCTCATTGCTGATACTTACTGAGTACTTCCTATTCTGAGCACTTTATATGGATTGACTCAATCCCTATATCAGCCCTGTTAAATAGGGAGTGGTAGTATTACTGTCATTTAATATAGAGGGAAACGGGCCCAGAGAGGATACGGGAATTGCCCAAAGCCACACGCCCGCCAGTGGTGAAGCAGGATCCTAGCGCGGATTGGGTCTCACTGCTCTGTCATTGTCTTATCACCTGCCTCCCCCTCTGGCTGGCGGGCTCCCCCCCGCCCCGGTGGAAACTGGGACTGACTCACCTTCACATCTCTCAGGGCCTTCTGTGATGTCTGGCACCAGCAGGCTCTCAGTTTGCTAAATTCCACTGACTTTCTGTTTTCTCTTCTAGCTGCCAAGCGGCCAAGGGATGAGCTGGGGCCCGCCTTCCCAATGGCATCTCCCCCTGGTCTGGAACTGAAGACACTGAGCAATGGTCCCCAGGCCCCAAGGAGACCAGCTCCTCTGGGTCCAGCGGCCCCACGCAGGGAGGGTGTGGAGAATGCCTGCTTCTTTTCGGAGGAGCACGAGACTCATTTCCAGAACCCTAGGGATGCCAGACTGGGCAGCTCCCCCAGCCCCCCCGAGGGCGTCCCCTCATGGCCCCGATCCCAGAGGGACGACCTGTCCCTGCGTTCAGAAGAGGGGCCAGGCCTGGAGCCTGTGAGCCGCCCGGTGGATTACGGCTTCGTTTCCGCTCTGGTTTTCCTGGTGAGCGGGATCCTCCTGGTGGTGACTGCGTACACCATCCCCCGAGAGGCCCGTGTCAACCCGGACACAGTGTCAGCACGGGAGATGGAACGACTAGAAATGTACTATGCGCGCCTGGGCTCACACCTGGACAAGTGCATCATTGCAGGCCTGGGGCTGCTCACAGTGGGCGGCATGCTCTTGTCTGTGCTGCTGATGGTCTCCCTGTGCAAGGGAGAGCTGTACCGCCGGCCGAACTTCGTCCCTGGCAGGGGCTCCAGGAAGACCTACGGCTCCATTAACCTGCGCATGAGACAGCTCAGTGGGGATGGGAGCCAGGCCCTGGTGGAGAATGAAGTCGTCCAGGTCTCGGAGACCAGCCGCACCCTCCAGGGGTCTTAAGTAAGAGCCCACCCTATCTGGCTGCTTCAGCTTCAGGGCTACAAGGCCCCCGAGTCTGGGGTTTCGGACTGAGCTCCACATAGGGCCCCATGGAAGGAGTCCTGGGTGCTGGAGGGGGAGCTTGGGGCCTGGCCCAGGCTTCGCTTGGGAGAGCTGCCCCCAATCTGTTTTGTAGCTTGAGGTTTTGCATAAGGTTTTGTTTGAAGGATGGCTTCTGCTGCTAAAAATACAAAAGTTTGGAAACTGCTGCCCTTGGAGGATGAGTTTCTTGGCCTGCCCGAGGATCGAGAGCTGTCTGAAAGGCTGCCCATCCTGTTCCCCATGCCTTGGGGAATTCCGGGTTCTCTGCTGTCCTCATCAGCCATGTATGGGTGTTGGGCAAACTTGGCTTTGAGCCCTGACTGTCTAAGGTGGGAGGTGGCTTCACAATGAGGGGAGAAGTCAGCCCTGGGACAACCTCCCCACTCCAGGCCTCCATCCCCCTGACTGTGAGGTGAGAGGGATGGCCCCTCCAGTTCTGCCCTAGGAATTCCTATATGGAATGGGAGCCCAGTTTCTGCATCTGGCCGCTCCTTCAGGGGACAAGAGTGTCTGGCAGGTGCTGATCATCCTCTGTGCCATTTTCCGACCCAGTGTTGGTGGCCACCACTGTCACACAGCCAGCATCTCACTCGGTCCTGTTAAAGGACCCCCTAAGTCCTCAGGTTAGACTGGGCTAAATCCAGAGTTTGCTACAGCCTGGTCTTGGTCTTGGGATTGAATTACCTGCTGTGACTAGATCTTAGCACACATTTTACAAAGTCATGTGCACAGTTTTCACTAACTCCCTGGACAAGGGCAGGGGGATTTTCAAACAGGAAAGGGTAGGGGCTTTGTTGTATTTCTGTGGACACAGTGTGGGCCTTCATTACCTCCCCTTCCTCAATAGTATGTCTCTTAGGCCTGACCTTATTCTGGTAACAGAAAAAAAAAATTTTTTTAATGCTGAATTTGGAACTCCCTTCCCCAACTCCCGTAGCTGTAAAGTGCAGTCCCAATTTATTTGGGGAGAAATCAGGCACATTCTGGTGGCCTGAAAATTCTAGCCACATTGATCACATTTGTTCTGTTTCTCTTGTCGAGTGTTTCCAGGCTCTGTCCAGATTCTCTTTAAACTACTGACAAAGAGGGCTTCCCTGGTGGCGCAGTGGTTGAGAGTCCGCCTGCCGATGCAGGCGTGCCCTGGTCCGGGGAAGATCCCGCATGCCGCAGAGCGGCTGGGCCCGTGAGCCATGGCCGCTGAGCCTGCACGTCCGGAGCCTGTGCTCCGCAACAGGAGAGGCCACAACAGGGAGATGCCCGCGTACCGCAAAAAAAAAAAAAAACTACTGACAAAGAAAAGAAGTGGGCCCTAGTGGGCAAGGAGATAAAGGTGTTTGAGGACTGGGGGAGGGCATCGTCCATTCTGAAAGGCCCTAGAGGGCTTTGAGACTACGTGCCTTCTAGGCCACTGGTGTGAAGACTCTAAAGGGGTCATTTCTGTGAGCCTCCGACCCATGTAGGTCCTACGTACTCCATCTCAGTTGGCCATGTGGGACATTGATCCTAACTGACTCTTCAGGGTGGGAGGATGGGGTGGGCATGGGGTCTGTAGGCTAGAGCAGCCCTGATTATCTGTAACCTGAGCCTTCAGGCTGGTGAGTTGAACATCTGGGCAGTGTAACATCATAGCTTCTATGATGGATCAAATATCTGCTCCTGCTGGCAGGTTTTGCCAGGAGTAGGGGGCTGGGGGAGAGCTGGAGGGGACAAAGGCTATTCAGCTTGGCCTGCCAGGTTCTGTTCCTGGTGTTTAAGAGGTGTGGTTTGAAAAGGACAAAGCCTCAAGATGGTGAAAGACTCACAAGTCAAGGCTGCAAGCGAGGAGTGGAGGCAGAAAGTGGCATGAACCATTCTAGGTAGTAGAATTGAACAACCCAAATGATGGGCCTTTCATATCCATAATGATAATAATAAAAATATCAATCCAAGCCAAATGGATTATTGTGAGATATTGTCAGTTTAAATGCAATGGATTGTTTTTAGGGGCTAAATCTGTTAGAAGATTAAATCTAGATTAAACCAGGAATCTCAGGTTTTCTCTAAGTCAGAGAAACCAGCTTTGCATCCTAATTACAGAAACTCCTTTAGGAAATGTGTAAAATGGATGGAGGCAGTCATTACTTTGTCAACGTGTTAAGAAAACTTGAGCGACGCCGAAAACATTTCCCCAAGATGGCAGCTGAGATCTCCCAGCCAGTGGATCAGAAACAGGGTCAGGAGGGAGCATGGCGTAGGGGTGCCGAGAGCTTTCTCTGCAGGTTTTTTGGGGGTAGGTGTGAAGTGGTCCCAAGGGACCGTGTGGTAGCCGAATTGTGCCTCATCTGCAGGAACTCCCTCTCCCACCCGACAGTCTACTAGGGTCCCCAAACCTTGCTTTTCCTGGTGTATGAGAACAGATAACTGATTTTGGAGTTGGTAAAACCTGGGTTTGAGTCCAGGGTCTGCACTTATTGGCTGTGTGGCCTTGGGCAAGGTGCTCTATCTCTCTGAATATCCTGAGTATTGTTTTCTTTGTGAAGTGGGAGGAATGAAACTTCGGCCTCAGCCTCCTTGTGGGGAGAGGGGCGTTGGTGAAAATCACAGAGAAGTTAGAGGCCTGAGTGTATGAGGTCCAGTTACCATGATCATGCTTCTTCCCCACCCCAGTTGGAGATATAACTGGATTTTAGGCCTAAAACCTCAGGGTCCACCCTTCCGACTTCTCTCGAGCCTCCCATTCTACGCATCAGCAGATCTTATTGGTTCCACCTTTGGAATCTGACCCCTGCCCGCCCCTCAGCCATAACTGCCTGGTGCAGGTTGCTCATTAGTGTCCTAATTCCTCTGCTCTGCCCCAGTTCACGTTCCACTCGGCAGCCAGGCAGATCCTACTCAAAGATTAATTAGGTCAGGCAGCTCCTCTGCTCGAAACTGTCCTATGGCGCCCTCTCATTCCAGGCAAAAGCCACCTTTCTCGCCAGTCAAGGGTAGATTTACCATCCAGGCCCCTCACTTGCCCAGGCTCCTTCCAAGGCCCTGAGTCAAACTTTTATTTGTAATTTTCATTTTTTAAAAAAGGACAGCTCCCTAAATTGCATAAGCTTCAGGTCCATCCCTCACAGTGGCCTATAAAAGGCCTACACAATCTGGGCCCTGTGCCTCTCTGAACTTATCTTCCACCCTAGCCTCTGCTCACTCCATGGCAGCCATGCTTGCCTCCTTGCAGGCACTCAACATGCCAGGCACACTCCCACCTCAGGGCCTTTGCACTTGCTGCTCCTGGAAGGCACCCTTTCCCTGTGGGCCTTTGGGCAAACTATTCTACCTCTCTGGTCTTCCAGAGTGAGACTAGAAACCTTCCCACTCTGCCTTCTCTGGGGACTGAGGGGATCAGGAAACACAAGAGGAGGGCTCTCCAAGGTTAAGACCATGGTACCATGTCTGGAGAGCTTTGGAAGGGCAAGAAGAAGGGGAGGAAATGAGGTATTATGAAGAAGCCACAGGAGGCAGGGTTCTAAGGGTTCTGTGTGGGAGGAAAGGGGAGGGTCAGTGGCAATGACAAGAGTCAAGGAGATGCCCTCCAGTTGGGTCCGTTGGTTTCTCCCGAGATAGTGGGCTCCTCTTGATGTCCTCAAGTAGGTGAGTTTCAGCTAAGGGAAGGAGAAGCTTGCTGAGATCTTGCCTGGGTTGGAGTGATAGGGAGGTCCTTGTCAGTGGAGGTACGTTAGCATTTACTGGTCAGATGTTGGGTGTCTTCAGGGAGAAGGCATAGTGGAGTTGGGTGGGATTGAGTCACGAGGCTCCCCAGGGTCCCAACCCCCTCCTTGGAGGAGAGCCTGTGCCCCAATGGCCAGAGCCTGGCTAAAGACAGTAACAACCCTGGCCCTCTGTATCTTCTTTTCTTTGGCCCCAACACCCTCTTCCCAAGATCAAGCCTCTTCCTGGGTCGGGTTGTCCTTGAGCAAATGGGCAGGCCCAGGGGATCTGAATGGTGCAGAGGGCGGCAGGATTACTGCCTTCCTCCTCCAAGGGGACCAAGCGCTTCTGAGCTTTCTCCCTACTCCAATCTCAGAGGGATTGGGGGCAGAGCCCCTTACGGAGAGAGTCCAGTGAGGAGCGCCCACACATAATAGTCTAAGGGTACTGGCTCTGGGGTTGGATTGCCTGGATGCTTAGTGGATGTCTAATTCCTCTGAGCTGCTGTTTCTTCATCTGGTAAATGATAGCACCTTCCCCATAAGGCATAGTGAGCAGTAAATGAAATACCTGTAAAGCACTTAGCATAGTGCCTGGCACTTCATAATTCACTCAATAATGTTAACTATTCATCTGTTCGTTCATTCACACATATCTGTATTCTTCCCTGGGTGGGGCACTACAGGGACACATGGGCCCTGCCCCTGGGGAAACAGTGCCCAGAGGACTGTGTATGTGTGGCCAGGTGGGGGGGTGTTGGCACAGAGCGGGTATCTGATTAAGTTGGGGTCCGAAAAGGCTTTCCTGGAAGGGGTGATGTCTAATAGGATTCTTAAACAGTGAGGCAGTATCCAGTGTGGGGTGAGAATGGGGAGCAGGAAAGGTATTCCGGGCAGAGAGGAAGAGCATGAGCAGAGGCTCAGAGGCATAAAGCAGCCTGCTGTGTACTGGGGAGGGGCAGGGGTGGGCGGGAGGTCTGCAGGTTCTGGGCTGGAGTGTTGGGATGAGGCCTGCTGAAGAGCAGGGGCGTCATAGTGGGGGCTTGCATTTCATCATGTACAGACTGGGGGCAACCACAGTCCTTAACTCACAGGGCTGTTATGAGGACTCGGAGTTCACACTGGTATAGCGCATACCTAGGGGCCTGGTACGTGGGGAGAACTCACTGTCAGCCATATGATTGCTTATAGATGTGTGTGGCAGGAAGACTCTTCTTTATTTTTAAAATTTATTTATTTTATTTA